GAAAGAAAAAGAAAAAAAAATTCATCATTCTAAAACATGTAAAATCGCAATTAGCGCGAATCCGATCATCGAAGAAATACGCTACGATTTTCCATTCCATGGACGACGAAGCAGCGATTGTATAAATAGTTGAATCTTATCGTTATAGATTTATTATTCGTATCGCGGTTGATCGACGATTGTTCAAAGATTGACTAAAAGATCGAGTAACATTCGCGTCCCTTTTGACTCGATCGCACTCGCTTTTTCATTCGTAACGCTCGAACATTCACGCATATACACACATACACGCACACGCACACGCACACACACACACGCGTATCGAATATCTTTTTATACTTAATCGAGATTCGTTGAGGCGATCTTTTTTGATATAATAAATAAGGATCTTTGAATTCTGCCAGTTTTGTGTCTTCGTATGCCTTTTTATACGAAACAACATCCGAACGTACAAAAAAAATTTTATGCTTGACTTTTACCTTTTTCTATGCGCTATACCCGTTTCAATACCGAATATATTATACGCGCTATTTGTGTCCGATATCATTCACGCCATCTTTCTCGAACGATTTTCTAATACTTCATCCAAGGATAGGATAAAAATGGATAAGACAAATTATAGCAAGACTATCGATTTACATCACACCTTACACAGGCAGCGTGATGTTCTCACGCCCGTTTTATCCGAATATTTGTGAGAGCGAATAAACGAATGCGTTTGAGCGAGTTGTTTAATGCGTTGGAAAAAAAAAAAGAAGAAGAAGAAGAAGAAGAAGAAGCTTCCCGTGAAAAGATAGCCGTCTCTACCGAGTCGAAAACGAAGGGAAGGAATTGTTACGATTTGTTTGACAAGTTCAAAATGGAACTACCCTGTGCGATATGTATATATACATCCTCGAATCGCCTCGAAGCCTCGAGTACCGTCATCTGCGATGACGCGTTTTCCACAAAGGGCGATAGGATACTACGCATGGGGGATACTCGTTAAATTATTGTACACTTTTCGATGCCAATCGCAAGGGAGTACGCCCTGTTATGTTTTAAATGCTCTAGAGTCTTTATTTATTGTACAGAATGCTCGATATATAAATAAATGAATGAATATATATAAATATAAATATATATATATATATATACATACAATACGATCTAGTACCTAATACGATATAATACGATATCGCTTATTATGTGTATAAATATGGAACAAATAAAAAAATCACTTCGACGGTTCCGGATGACTTTATCTTTTATTTTTCCACCAACCTTGTACGTTCTTCTCGTAAGTTCAAATATTTGATTGTCGAGCAGGGGGGGGGGAGGGGGTTAAGTAGTGGAAAGATTATGATTTTTTTCGAAAAGGTCGAGATCCCTGGAAAGAGGTTAGCATTTGGCATAAAATCAGAGACAAGAGGCGAAGAGTTAGAGGCAACGGGGTTCTTTTCAACCCCGTTCTTCGTAAACGAGACTTCCACTAAAAAAGATTAAATCTTTCGGCAACCAAGCGGCAGTAACTAACCTGCTACGTTACCGTCGTAGCTAGAACTAGGCGAGAGGAGAATGGAAATGTCCAGGAGGGCTAATAATTAAGGTTAATTTTGCAATTAACCTCAGACCCGTACACGAACTGCATCGAACAAAACGTCTATCCTCCCTCCCTCCCTCTCTCTTTTTCTCGCTCCTTCCATTCATTTTCTTGTTTAATCTCCCTTTCTCAACGTTCCTACCCTATCTATATTCTTTCTATTTCAACCCCCTCCTCGACGCTTAAACAAAGTTCTTACAAGCCCGTAGAAGAACTTTTAACGCCGTTCAACGATTACTTTGTCCCGATTCTTGGCAACTTCTAATATCGAGACTAATTTTCCATCTCGAAGGAAATTAATGCCCTTTCGTTAAAGCGAACTTAATTCCCACGAAAACCACGGAATCCCGGAAATCTCCGGCTCGACGATACCACCCTGTCTTCTTTTGGAAGAGGAGATAAATTAGAAAAGACGTAGCGTCGCAACGATAGATCCCCTCGATTGAAAAATCGAAAAAGCAGAGGATGCTTTCATGCCTCTGATCCCTCCCTTGTCGTTTCCATCTCGGATCCATCCACCCTCTTCCTTCCGTTTCATCCACGATCATCGTCTTCGGACGCTTCTTCCGTTACTCGATCTAACGTTACAATCGCTCCGACTACGATTTTGACCCGGTAGAAGGGTCAAAGGATGCTCGACTACAAAGGAACGTACGAAAAACTCGAAGTGAATCTCAACGTAGACAGACGGCAAACGTAACGTTATAGCGAAGCTGTATAATCTCCTTAACAAGAAACCGACGAAATTGCTCCAAGTTTATTGTCCGTTAGAAAATAGATTTGAGTCGATTTGAAGATACTCGAGACGTGCAAAAATCATCTGATATCCTGCTTCGTGGAGTAAAGTTCGTAAGTTGCAAAAATATCAGACGCTCTGAGGAGAATTAGAATTTCCTCGAATTTATCCTCGATACGAGGCCAGCGTAATGAAATTTCGAGCGCATTCATCGCGTTTACGAACTGCATAAAACTCGTGAAACAATCTCGAAAATATCGAGGACTGTCGTGTTGAATGAGAAGGATAGATGACTCTCTCACGATCGAACGTCAACCGGCTGTTGAACGAACGATTCCGGAACAATCGGATTCCCGAAACAAACACGCCGATTAACCCATCAATGAGAATTAGCATTTTAATTGCCCCGTGGGTGTCTTACGGCTTTTCGCTCGGGGTTCAGGGATCACGACCTCTAAGGCCAGCCGGAACAAGGTAAGAAATTAATAAATTAGCTAATGGCTCTACCGTTGATGAATCGGCCGATTCTAGACAGGAAGTGGAACGACGTCGAGGAAATTTTAGACGTGGACGCGTGGGATTGAGAGAGAAAGAGAGAGAGAGAGAGAGAGAGGAGGGACATTCCTGGTGAAGCGGACGAACACGATAGGATTAACAATAAAATTACGGTGAGAAGGCACGTTGAGAGTGGATGAAAGATTGGTGTGTTTTTTCACGTTCGAGTAGGATCTGAGGAGAGTAAAAGAAGAGTAAAAGAAGAATCTAGAGAAAGTGGGAATTATAGGTTAGGTATAATTTTTAGTAATAAATTTTAATCATTCGCTGTTCGATTTAATCGAGTAACGAAACGAAGCAAATACTTCGGTAAAAAGAAAGAACAGAATCGTGAGCAACGAAAAAAAAAAAAGA